ATTAACAGTGCGATATATATTTAATTATGTTTCTGAAAGACATTGTTATTTTCGCCCTCCTTTTCCAAAAACCTTTTTTTTCCATTCCTCATACGTGTAACAGGAATAAAATATAACCTAAAATAATTTACAAATATAATACATAATGTAAACTCAATTATAATTAAAAATAACACATATCTACAGGAATGACTAAATATATTAATTGCGTCGGTCTAAGGGACCGATCGGTGTCGTGTACGAGTACACGTGTTGTATGCAGGAATACTCCTGTTACGTTAAAATGAAGTTAGCCACGAACCATGCAACTAGCAGTGAGCCCGAAGCTCAAACGTTTTCCCTTTCAGAAAAAGCACCGCAAACGATAATCGTCGGTCTGAGAGACCAACGCGCTATTGATCTGTCACAATCATTGACTTACAAATAAATGGACGACGGGTCTAATACAAAAACCACGAAAAAAATGTCCCAAGTCAACCTATTTAAACGTAGTGACATGTAAAGGAATATGAAAAAGCTAAAACGTTGAATTTAAATTGTAATGTCATCGCAGTACTGTCTAATTTTGCTTGCTTCGCTGTCAGAAGAAACAAACGAAGACTAAAGCGTGAATGACGCTCTGTATACGATTTTAACGCCCTGTAAGTTCGGACACTTTTTAGCGCGGACCCGACGTCCATATAATTGTAAGTCAATGGTCACAATATTTCGAATTGAAGAAGAATTATTTCAATACACGCCTGTAACCATGGTATGACACGTGAAGATTTCCGCAATCCTGGATCCTACGATAATGCAAATTCCTGACAACGAGTCATCACATATATCTTCATTTTAATCTTGTTTGATCATCAATTTAGGTTTCAATTAAGTATACATACATACATGTAATATTAGTACACTATGCCAGGATATGCCATCGATTCGCCATTAAAGAGCAGAATACTAAAAAATTACGATGACAGTTGTTGAATAGCTGCTCGATGGGTAGCTACTACTGTTAACTTTTCGTAGAATATCAAACGTACAAAATTTTACACTCTATCGACACACAACTGAAAATCACACACTTCACAATCCGTTTATACTTTCAAAAATGAACTCAGAGAGCACATTTTAATACTGCAAAATACGCCTGGAGAAATTTGTTATAACGCAAAGAGAAACATAAAATACATAAAGACTTAGTGAACTAATTGAAAACGCTGTAGGCGTAATGCCAGTTTTATTTTTCTGATCTAATTGCGTTAGTTATTTATATGTTGTACCTATTTTAATTGCGCGTCCACAAATTTTTTATTTTCTTTTAAATTTTATCGTAATTTTTATTTTTGAATCGGCCACTTCGAAATGGGTCCACTGAAAACCAACGTTGTGGCTCCGCCGCAGAACTAGCTGAGTTTGGCCCTTTTCATTGCAATACACGTTAAGCATAAAATCATATTGTACTTATAACATGTGACTAAAAGATTTATGTAAATAAAATTAGGAATAAGTGGATACTATTTGTGGATTAAAAGTTAAAGAAAGAAAGGAACATTTATTCGGCTATTCACACATAATATTAGAATAACTAACACAAGATCTGTTAAAAAACCAAAAAAAAAAGAAGAAAACTAATAGACTAAAAACTTAAGTATACAATATTAGCCGAAAAGGTTCGCTTTAAGCTGGGCGGAGCCTCATCGCTGGTTTTCAGCTGGAGCCTATGAGAAGTTAGAGGGTTTCAAATACTTAACATACAAATGTTAAGTATTTAAAACCAAGAGTAAAATAAGATAAAATTACAAGACAAGTTATAAGATGACAAAACCAATTAAAAAATATATTTTTTAATTGGATAGAATATATATTTTTTCTACCTTTGTAAACTTTACTTTGTTTAAATAGACAATTTGGTTATTGCAATTATCAATGTACAAGTACATAATTTCAAGTTGCAAATTTGTATTTTCCAAGTGGCGGAGTCCTGGTGACCTGAAAATACAGACCTTATGTCTAGTTTAGGCATCATTCTCCCACAGTATAATTCTTGTTTTTATGTATTGTTTTTGATATCATGCTCAATGTACATATATTGTGGTGAGAAAATAAACTTATTATTAATTAAAAATGGTTCTATAAATGTGCATTGTGCTTTTAATAAAGCCATACACTACAATATAAAAAATTTAAAATGTTCACAATAATAATGTCGGAGAAATAATTGTAATAAGTAATATATAATATGATAGAATAATTTTAAATTAAATGGAAGCTGTCGCCGTTTGTCTGTTGTATCAACGTTATTTCCTTAATCTTTCTACGGAGCCCGATACAGAAAGTTGAATGTGAATTTTGTGTATCAACTGAGTACACGAAGAACACCTCTGTCATTCATTATGCAAGGTAAATCTTCAAGCTTAGACCCAATTGTAAAACTATACACCGGCCACACTTTTGCAGTGTAATAAAGCCTCGAGTAGTAACAAATTTTTGTACCCAACAAAGGCGATTGATGTTTTGTTTTGCTCAACAGCCTGTTACGAGATAACGTTCTCGATAAAACCCAAAGTGTCTAAATATTTTTTTGCATATTAAACAATGTAGATCAAAACACTCTACCTGCATTTTGTTATCTAATCTTTACATTTAGGTCACGCTGGTAGTTAACGAAATATAAATTGATTTCTACTATCAAAGTATTAACAAGTTTAGAATGTGAGGACGGAAGTTCAACATCATTTTTTTAGAATGCTGATAAAGTATGGTACTCATTCACTGGGAATAGATTGATTAGATTGCGGATTTGATTTTGCTGTGCCTCTATACAACGAAGGTAGCACAGTAGCATCATGTACCTTTGCCTTTAATTTCTAAGTTACCTAACCTTGAACACAGAACAATAACTACAGTAGACGTGCTTAGTTAGCGTCAGACGCGTGCCAACTATAACAGGTCTGGAAGACCTATCTGAGATCAGTCCGCCATTTTCGCTTTATATGAATGGTTATGTCATTATTTGGTTCAAAACTGCCTTATTGTGCTGTTTGTGAGTGTAAACATGATTGTCGCACCAAAAATATTACTCGTGATGGTATTTTATATCATCGGAAAGTCATATATTAATAAATTTTCAGTTTTCTGTTTATCGAATCATTTTTTTTGTTACAAAAAACGAAAGTAAAGCTTATACGCCTGCAATATGGTTGCTTCTTTTTTGGAGAACTAAATTAATAACTGCAAGTCGTCGTCGTTCAGCTATTGACCGCTAGGTGGCAGCACATCGATTGAAATTTTAATATAATATCAAAATGTCGTAACTTGCAATAATGGTAGTATTTAACCGCTCATCAAAAAAGTCAAGCACAACCAAATATGCCACTTCCCCAACAAAGGTACTGATTGCACATCAAAAGGAAATTAATTTAACATTATGTACTAAAATTAATGCATAACATTTTAACGCAATGCATATCTAACATCTAAATACATATCCAATGTTTCTGGCATACAACGAACATATGACTACAAATGTATGAGCAAATACAATTGACTTACAAATAAATGGACGACGGGTCTAATACAAAAACCACGAAAAAAATGTCCCAAGTCAACCTATTCGAAATTTAAATTGTAATGTCATCGCAGTATCGCGCTGTCAGTCGAACAAATGAAGACTAAAGCGGAGTTTGGCGCTCTGTATACGATTTTAGCGCCTTACAAGTGCGGACACTTTTTAGCGCGGACCCGACTAAGTCAATGGCAAATACATATATATATTTCAATTAAAGGTACATCAGTTTATCGGAATGAAGCACCATTTTATACCACATACATGAGCCGGATCGCGAGCTCTACAACATGTCGGTTTGCATTTATAGTTTCAGATGACATTTTTGAAATAATGTTATGCAATGTGTGTTAATCGTTATATCATAAATATATTTATTGTACGTGATTCATTGTATTAACGAAGATATTTTGTGGGGCAACTTTTGTTAAAAGAATTGTTATTTTGTTTAGAGTTAATTTAAATTGATGTGCAATCAGTATTTTTGTTATGTAAACCACGTTTATGTTAATAAATGAACACTTTCGTTGTACACTGAGAAAATAGCATTCACGTTTTTAAATTAATTTTGATACTAGTTTTGTTAGACAGTTGTTTTATTTGTGGTGAAATATTTTTTTAGATTTGAAAGTGATAATGAACATAATTTTTATGTATTAAGTTTTTCGATATGCACTTAATATTTCCCTTGCAATAATATGTACTGATGGTATTAAACTTTCGACCGTATGCCAACAGGTTTAAATTATGTTAATAATCCAGAATTTGTCATTCTTTTTGAATTTGAAACTACGAACAATCAATATCAAGATTTTGTAGTGTTTCAAATTAAGTGTGTGTGAGGTTTGGCGACATCGGTTTTGATAAATCGAGGCTTAAGGCACTACCATTGGTTTTTTTTCTTTCGTGGCTCCAGCACCGTTGCGATCTTATCTATCCGATATTCAATTTATGTTTTATGGAGAGATAACAAACATCTTTTGTGAGAGAATAAACATCTTTATCATAATTAAAAATGATTTCATCGTACATCAAACATGTCTTAAATAAAAGTACGATACATAAGAGTTCAATAGACTTTTTACATCACTTTACTCAGATATTACATTGTACGTACACAATAGACGTTCTGAAAAATAAAAAGAAAAAGAAAATTTACTATATAAACCCCCCAGTCGTGGCACTCATTGTTAGACGTTAGCTGATGTTTAATGTTTATGAATAGACGTTTTCAAACACTGTCGTGTTTTCTTTTACCGTAGAACATTTCAGTTTCTCGCAGGATATCAATCCTTCCACATAGGTGTTCTAGTGTTTCAAGCAAATATAATTTTTATTTGTTTTATATCTTAAAGTCGTAGTTGGAATGGTTGGAACAACTAAATTACTATTTACATTCTTGATTTTAATCATACCAGTAATAATCACTAAAGAGAGAAATGTAAAACTTCCAGACATGCACTACATCCTTTTATGGACAGAAAACCTAACGCAACCTTACAAGACAATGAGTAAAGGTCAAAATATATTTGTCGAGAGAAAATGTAAATATAGGAATTGTTTCGTGACAAATGACGAATTATATTTGAAAAACGTAACAGATTTTGATGCTATCGTGTTTATTGGATCGCAGATTACTAAATCAACAATTGTGCCACTCAGTCGTTCAGAGGATCAGTTGTATGTCTTTGCCTCGAAGAAACCAGCAAAAGATTACCCAATGGATACACATTTTGATTGGTTCTTCAATATGACTTGGACATATAAACTTGATTCGGATATTCCTTCCTGGTATATAGCAGTACGTAATAACACAGGTGCAATAGTAGGTCCAAAAAAAGAACCACATTGGATGAGTTGGATAAGTTTAGATAACATGGTATCTATTATTGGGGATAGTTATTTGACCCAAAAGCTCCATGGTAAAAAGACTGCTGTCATGTGGATGGCAGATAATTGTAATTCAAAGAAAATCACTGGTACACGTGAAGAGTATGCCAAACAGTTAGAACATCAAATGCAGAAGTACGGTCTCAAATTTGATACCTACGGGAAGTGTGGAAAAAAAAATTGTAAAAGTTTGAAGGAATGTTTGTCTAAATTAGAGTCTGATTACTACTTCTATTTTGCTGCAGAGGATTCGACATCTAAAGACTATGTTACGGAAAATCTGTTGTATCCTTTACAACATTTCGCAGTGCCCATTGTTTATGGTGGAGCGAATTATACCAGGTACGCAATGTTTTAACTTGCCACGTTCATACATAATTGTGTGCGCGTAATTACAGCTACATTTATTCCTATCTAATGTCTATTTCAATAGCTTTATCACACTTTGTTCTTTTTAATACTATACAAGCAGGCAAACAGCTTATGAAAAGTGGTAACCGCCAAATTGAACCTTGCCAAATGGAACGTAAAATGTCAAGGATGACTGAAGCCAACATATACCATAACCCAGCATTTTAGTTGCAGTAGAGTTCCGTGTGAAGAGTTCGACCTGGAAAGTACTGGCACCTAACGTAGTTCTGCTGCCAAGCAGTAATGCTCACGCTACTACGTTCCAGTTTCGAAGGGTAACCGTGCCGGTCAGATTACAGGCACATGGGACATGTCAACTTATATATCTCAGGGTAACGGGCACAGTGGCAGTGTCTCACAGGTCTCTGCTTTATAAATTATTGTCTGTGCGCCAAGTTGCACTTATGCCCGACTTTTATTAAGTAGCTTAAAATCGTAATTTCCTTAGTAGTAATACATTACTGCTTGGCGACGAAAATAGGCAAGGTGGCATTACTTCCTTGGTAGAACTTTTTCACAAGGAGCTCTACAGCTACTAAAAATGTGTTATATACGTGCAAAAATGTCAATGATATGATCATATAACTTTTATATCTAATTATTTTTCAGATTTATGCCCGAAGGCTCTTACCTGAACGCCAAAACATTACCGGCCGACGAATTAGCTCTGCAAATGAGCAAGATATTAAACGACAAAGATAAATATCTAACGTATTTCAGATGGCAAAAGTTTTACGCTTTTGAAAACACAGAAGATAGTCCTGATACTGATGAATACTGCAAATTCTGTGCGATATTAAATAACAAACGACGCAGAAGTGAGAGAAAAGTTTATGCGCATTTTTCGCAATGGTGGAACGAGCGTCCTTATGAAACTGATGGAATATTTACTTCCCTACATCCAGATCCCATAGTTACTTTCAGTCCTGCAAAAACGAAAGACAAAATTATTATGGACAATCCGTACATTCCGACATCGCGTCATATGGAGAAAAAAAACGAAGCTGGCTTCTTTGGATTCATCGCTAGTTTGGTCAATTATTATTTTGATATAGCTCTTTGAAAATAACCTACAAAAGAGTTTTTTTTACGATACCAAGTGACAACGTGTTCGTCCTACAAGTCATGCGTCTGGTAATAAAAGTGTAGAACAGCCTTGGCGGAATTAAAGAGTGAAGGGTCAGTTCACATAAAATTTAATAAAGGAAGGGTACCAGGAAGGGTGTAAGAAAATGCAATGATATAAAAAACAGGTATAATAGTATAAAACACTCCCTTACAACGGATTTAAATGAAGCAGACACTACTCCAAAAGGTCCTGTATTGGTATATATATCCAATGCTTTATAAGCCAAGTGTGTGTTGCCAGTTGTGACTTACGGCACTGAGACGTGGTCGCTCTCTATAGGCCTCATAAGACGGCTCAAGGTTATTCAAAGGGCAATGGAAAGGGCTATGCTCGGAGTTTCGTTGCGAGATCGAATCAGTAATGAGGGTATCCGCAAGGGAATCACAGGGCACATTGCACGTAGAACAGATGGTCGATGGGGCCGAAGAGTTTTCGAGTGGAGACCGCGTACTGGTAGACGGGGCGTGAAGGCTGCGTAGCACAGGTCATTGTGGCATTCTTTGGGGAAGGCAGCAGCTAAAATACGTGAGGTTTACATGATTGAGGATTGAGGTTAACGATGTACACGTCATTTCTCTCCGAGAACTTTGATGGGAGTGACGACGGAACGAACCAAAGTAAGAATAACGAAGAAAAGGTGTTAGAGAACGATTCAGAATTTCAAAACTAAGTGACCAGAATCCAGAAGAGAGGGTGATAAAAAGGTGAAATGACGATGAGGGAGGTCGCATCGTTACAAGCGACACTCCTGTCCAAAGCAGTTACACTGCCACAAAATTTGTGTTATCGCAGGAATTCCCCAACGGTAAGTGTGAAGCTGCATCCAGTGGCATAGTATTGGGGAGTCCTACCGATCAGCGAACACCCTCAAGATTCGTTTGGTGCTGGCGAGGAGACGAGTGAGCGCGGAGGCGCGCCGTTTCCTCATTATAGCCTAAAAGTAATTCGTGCGCGCTTCCGCGAACTCCCTGACGCACTACAGTGCCACGGCAGCCCCAGCAGAAACCTGAAGGCGTTATTATACTGGACACGTAGGTCACTATAAGTTCGCTAAACAAAAACAGAGCGGTCCAAAAATTTTGTTGGCGTAATGTTCATTGGAGGTATCGAGATGGTTAATCAAAAAAAGTGCTTGAACAATATTCATTTGCCAAGTCTGCCCTTATCGTGTGGCTGGTATACGAAGGTAAAGAATTTGCCGATCGGCGTAAGGTATTCGCCGATTATCACCCAGGGTGCGTCAGACGTACAACAAAGGAATGGTACGTAGTGCCGGGAGGCTATTTTCGTGTACCCTATTTGCCAACTCGGTGGATAGATTAGTCGAGTATTTCTGAAGCTACAGATTGACTGCATGTTTTGCAAATGATGCGTGAGGTCGTAATCAACTTCACGCATCAACTGGATGCAGTTGAGACTTCAACTTTAAACGTCGATGTTAATCATAGTCCGAGAATCAAATGTAATAAATGACATTCTTACGAGGATGTGTTATTATTTTTTTGCTATTAATTATATCGTTTAATTTGTCAGAAGTGGCAATCGATAATCTAAAGTAATTGTAAAATTTGTTTTCATGTCTTAATTTCGGGAACAGTACATATAAATGACATTCTCTATAGCAACATATTACATAACAATAATGAATCTATCCACACTGTATGCTTTTGTTTTTGGCTTCGATTACGCCTGCGGCGTAACGATAGCAACAGCTGTAGCCTCCGTGCTTTCATCTCGACGTTTACACTGAGCTCCTGAGCTAGGCGCGCGGCGATAACTGCCTGCAGTTAATGTCGACTGCATGCAGTCGGTTTCGTCTGCATAGTAATATTTATATATGGAGTTCGTTTAGTAGCAGCCTAAATGTATATCACCTAAATTTATATTATAACAAGATAAGTATAATGGTCACCCTCAGTGTATCACACGACATTTATAAAAATAAAACGAAGTACATACATAAAACAAATTATGTATATGTGGAATTCCATAACTTGTTTTATATAATGTTACGTGACGGTACGAACATGTCGTGCGCCTGATGGTAAGCCACACGCCTGCCCATAACAGTATCAGTACCACCCAGAGCTTTAAATAACAAAGATCTGAGGAACACTGCGCCCGTCATCCTGAGATATTAATTGACAAGTCCCATGTGCCTGTATTTTCACTTTGTGTACATATATAGTTGTGAATGAGAAATGTTTGATTGATGTAGTTTTCACAGCAATGAGATTTTTTGTTATCTAATTTATAATAACAATATCCAATTAAACCACAGACTTAAATTCATATTCCTATTCATATAAGATTATTTTACAAAAGATCTTTTCATTATGATACCAAGTGACAGAAACTGGAGGTTGGTAAGCGACACGCCTGTCCACAGCAGTGTCACTCAGAACTTTAAATCGCAAAGATATGAGGGGCGCTGCCACTACGCTCGTCTTTCTTCAAAACCGGAACGGAAATAGACCGTGACCCGTTTAGTTCTTGCAGGTATTCGCGATCTAAGATTTGAAATAAATATTGTAAATGATAAATGTATTCAAATACATAATTTACAAAGAGCAACTACTAGAGTCTTTTGCTCAGTCTCCTCAGGGGAATCTGCCTTACGAATGAGCAATAGAGTTTAATCAATATGACGATTTCATAAACATGATTTGACTTCACTTGATTTGACTTTTATTACATAAAAAAAAACTTTTGTTTACAAATAGTCTTGTTTTCTATGGGTCTTCTCGTAAAAATATCGAGTATATAATCAGAAATAGAGACGAAATAATGGCCATCCATCTCTGGCAACTCGTCAGGCAAATGGGCTTAATATCACTTTCAAATATAAAGATTCGTTTGCACTGAAATCACAAATTAGAAAACAAAAATAGTACAGCCCAACAATAGACCCATGTATATATATACGTCTATATATTCCAAAAATATTTTGTATTTATTGTAATAAAGATAATATCTCTAACAATGGGTGGTTGTTCCATTTGGTGGTGTGGAAAAAACAGCAAAACATCTAATTACATAAGATCAGTACAGAGTACTAAAAAAACCGACCTCAAAAGTGCGTGGAATTACATATAATTACCAAGTTTTATTGAAATCGGTTACCGGAAAGTGCGCAAACCCGGATTCATCCCCTAGTACGCCACTATATATATTTTTTACCATTATAGCAAAGCTCAAGTTAAACTGGACGATTTAAAGTGGAACAATTGACGACATCCGTCAATTGTTTCGAATTCGGGCTGGCCACTCGGAGCACAGTTGTCACCGTAATGATTTGGCAGAATAGTTTTCAAACAAATTAAATGACATTTCGTCTCTATTGATATGATTATATACTCAATGCGTAAAAACGATAAACAAATGCCTTTACTTATTTATTTCAAACATTTTAAGTAAGTAATTATGCTTAATATTATTCTCGGAAACATCATTCACTTAAAACTACGAGGTTAATTTCCATTTTAAAAGAAACAGTAATACAAATAACTTCTTAGAACATTTGTTAGTAACTAGGTAACTCATCATCATTATCGACAATCATTCATGATTAAATTTGGAGAAAAGTGAGTTCCAGTTCCAGGTTCAATTCCCGGGCCGGGAGAAATATTTGTGTGGCCTACATTTATTTCTCTCGTGAGTCTGGATGCAATTTGCGTCCATGACACCCGCGACACAGGGTTTCCATAGTGTGGGGCTATGTTGAGTGTGTGTGTGTTATTATATATGCGCCTGGTGGTAAGCGACATGTCCATCCGTAACAGTTGCAGTGCCACTCAGAGCTTTAAATCGCAAAGATCTGAGGCCCACTGCGCCCGTCACCCTGAGACATAAGTTGACAAGTCCCATGTGCCTGTAATTTTACCAGCACCCTTACCCTTCTAAACCGGAACACAGTAATGCTGACATTACTGCTTGACAGTAGAAATAGGTAAGGTGGCAGTACTTCTACTGTACAGAGCTCTACTGCTACTAAATATATATTTCTCAAACATGCTCGGAAATATGTCTTTGCAGTACTTTCAAAAACAAACACGGAAAGTTTGTCATTTATGGACCGCACGTCCTCTTCCCTGGGCAAGGCCGGCAAAGTAAGTATGAACATGCATTAACTGTCCGCTTCTCTAAACTTTTCAATCTACCTCCTAATACTGAACTATAACAAAGTACAACAAACTTATTTTTTTCGTAATGTCATGACGGGACGAAAAAGATCGTGCGCCTGATGGTAAGCTACGCGCCTGTCCATAACAGCTGCAGTGCCAATCAGAGCTTTAAATTGCAAATATCTGAGAACCACTTCCACTACGCCAGTCAACCCGAGACATAAGTTGACAAATCCCATGTGCCAGAAAGTTCACCGGCGCCCTTACCTTTTAAAACCGGCACACAGTTAACGCTGACATTACTGCTTGGAATAACTCTGTCACACAGAGTTCCACTGCTGCTTAAACTGCCAAGTGTTCGTAATGGAATGGTAATTTAGTCGTATTTTTTAGCGGTAAAATAAACTAGCCATGAAGTACATATATACTCGATGATTAAAGTGCATTGGTGGTGGTTTTTTGGTCTTTTTTCTATGTTAGCCGCTAAAATAAGTTTAGTGAGAAGAGCGATAACGGAAATATCTGCAAATACTGTGATGTCAAATATAACTTTCAATTTTAATTAACATTTTTTTAGTTTTTTCTATTAAACGTCTTTTTCTCTTTCATCTTCTATTATTTCCTGATATTGTTTGAGAAAATCACGATATAAGCCTCGGCGGGAACGGGAATTGCTTGACTCGCGTTAAACAAGTCACTATTTTCTTATTAAGAGTTTTGGCTTGGATATAAGTCCTGTGGGCAATGTCTCCGTTTGATTATCGGGATCCTCAGTAATATTTTTCATTCTGGTTTTAATTCATTACGAGCCCTATACCCTACCTATGGTGGGGTCGGGCTCGGCCTGCGGCGCGTGGTCGCTTTCAGATGATTCACGGGGT